CAGTCGTTGGTGCCTTCACTAGCTAGCCAACTATTACATGGAATAACATTAAACAATTTACAACAAAAACAGAAGGCCCTATCCAAATCTATTGAATAAACCAACCATCTTCTTTCATACTTCTCTCCATTTGGTAAATTTTGAATATAGTGATTAGTAGTAAAATGTCTTTGAGTGTTCGTCTTTTGGAAAGTCTATGTCTACAACTTTAAATTGACCATTTTCTACTAAAAAGTCTCTTAATTTACCATCAACATTTTTCTATTGACTAGGATCGTAAATATTTTTAAGAATTGAATTGTTTAGTTCATAAATTTGATCTGTATCATCATGGGTTTGACATCTGTTAGGATTGTCATCCCGAGTATTTTTGTTATCAACTTCCTTATTTTCCTCTACCATATCATTATTGTCACAAGTCTTTTCATTATTCAATTATGTGTTTTCATCCACAATATCACTATTGCCTAGATCTATAGGAGTACCATTACTTTGTGCATTTGAAAAACATTCACTCATGTTTTCTTCTTTACTTTCTTCCGTCTTTGTCAAAAATTTGGTCAATGCCCCCCTTTGTGATTCTATTAAAGCTTCCCATTTTCTTTTCTTTAGCTTTTTTGAGTACCCAAATGGATATTTTCTTTTGGTCATAACTAAAAAAAATATTCAAGTATTATAAAACTATGAAGTGATTAAAAATATAATAAGCAAATTGAAAAATTTGACAAAAAATACTATAACTTGGTTAGAAGTTTAGAGCAACTAGCATAAATGAATCCAATCTCTAAAAAACTGGAGTTCCAAATGAAAATCCTGAAATAATAAGAATTTAGGAGTAGTCATTAATTCTAAAATTTGACATCATTCTCAGTTGATTAACAATTAGAGCATTAGTAGAAAAAACAATAAGATTCTCTGATTATTACTTTCCATTAGCAAGTATTAGTAAGAATAAAAAATATCATAAAAGAAAAATAAAAATAAAGTGAATTTAAAAATGAAAAGGAACAAAATTAACTTACCAAAACCAATTTCTCCTCGTAGACTTGCACAAAACAACACAACTCCAGCCTTGATTTTAGTATATGAAATTTTTTTGGAGGTGTTATATGGATTAATTGAAAGAGAAGCTAATAATGAAATCTGAAAATTAGGGAGGAAAAACAAGGAGACGAAAACAAAAATATCTTTGATTGAATGAATATGTGAATCAGAATAAGGATTAATCAAGAGTAAGAGAATAGTTGCAGCTTTGTAGAAAATAAAATTAGAAAGAATGTGGTAAAATAATATGAAAATTTAAGAGTATATAACAAGAACCGTTGTATTTAATTTTTTTATTTTTTTTGATTTGGTTGTTAGGAAGATTAGGATAATAGGATAGGATTTGATTGTGGGAATTTTTTGGGGGGCGTTGCCGAGATATTTGGAGTTAGAGAGAGTGATTGGGTTTTTTTTTTTTCATACAATTCAGTGAATTTTTTTCTCATAAAATTTATACATTTATAATTCATTAAAATAATACTAAAAACTTAGGGGCCTCAAATCATTGTGGGTTTTTTTTGGGAAGTTCCGTGATATATGGAAGTAGTTGAAATATTGGGTTGTTTCTTTTTACATATATATAATTCTGTAGTTTTTTTACATTAAAATAATGAAATTTATAATATATATATATATATAATAGTAGTATATGAAAAAATAGGGATTTGGGGGCCTAAAGCCAAGGCATCACCTGATTTATGGCGAAGGCGATTCTGATAGTAGGAACACTGCATTTGTAGATTTTGTATAAAGGCTCTTGCGAGCTCATACACAAAAACGGCACTATTGAAGCTATAAATGGAGAACAATTAATCAATGGTTACTTACGAAGAATGTATAACTACCAGAATGCTACCAAATCTATAGTATATATATTTAATTAAAGCAGCAAACAAAAAGGACATGTGTCATCACCACAATGAAAATTTTCCCGCCAAAAGTTATTTTCAGTACAAAATCATTTTTGACATGTGACACTCTAACTAATCAGAAAAAAAAGGATGAAATAAATAAATAAATAAATCTCTTAATTATAGGTACATAAAAATCCATTAATTATAGGCATATAGTAATCTCTTAAAACAATAATATTGAGTTGATAAAATCAAATGTCCGAAAATCTCCTTAAATCAAGTGAAACAACACTGTCACCCAATCTCAAATGATCTTTTCCATTCCGCTCCTCTCTCAGACCCGGGCCTTCAAATCAACTACTTAAAATCTGACATCAATTATCAATTTATCTCTTTCTACAACAGAGGAAAAAGAAGCGGTCATGGAAGGAAATTTGATTTTTTAAGGATGATTTGTTTTTTTATTCTTCTGTTGTAAATATTGGTTTATGAGTTATGTAAATCCATGTATAAGTTAACTGTTGTAAACCCCGGCATAGGTTTATGTGTAATAACTCAGTTCCTGTCCTTTTAATCGATTTTGTATTTTTCTGTTTTTAATTCTTTTAAAGATAATTTGTTTTTATTTAATCGATTTAAAAGTAAAGGCGGCACCCCAAGCATTCATCCTGGGCAAGCATCTAGTATATTATTAAAGAGATAACAAAAGATATAGCCAGTGCCATTGTATTTTTCCTAATCATGCTACAACTAATTCATATAACAGCAATCTACCAATTTATGATTACTTTAATTTTCATTTTTTGGAACAATTAGTCCAACTAAGTACAATAGAAACTATTCATGTGTAGTGAAAATCATGGAATTACAAATTAAACATACAATCTGGTATCACATTTATGATGATTATATATCATTAGAAGGAGATTGAGCATAACAGCAAATTGTACCACATACCTGCGGTTGTGTAGTCTATTTGATAAAAATGTTCTCAGAATTTTTTAAATGACAACAACATACCTCGAAATTGGAACGCTTTTATTCCGATTGGGTGTTCTCATCACTTATATATTGACCTCTATTAAGCAAAACGATGCTTTTTCTTTTCAGTTTTGCTTCGTCAAAATTGAGCGGCATTATATGAAAAGAGGGGGAAATTTAGTTATGGAAGCATTATACTTTTTTCCACCAACACTAATATATGTTGTTGAATAGATGTAATACGTATCAGTAATGCACCTTAGAGGTCTACGATTTATGTGGGTCACTGATTTTAAAACAGTGAATGAAAATGATCATTTCACCCTTTTTAAATATAGAGATAACACAAATTATTTGATTGATGATATACACAAATTGTTTTTTCAGTTTTCAGCAGGTAGGACGGGTGTGGCAACACTTTGCGGCACTCTTGAGAATCAATTTGGCAGGGATAAATTCACTCACTTCAGTGCTCCAAAGATGGTGGAAAAAGGGAAAATCCAAGATAGCTTATGGTGCTCTTAGAAAACTTCTTCCTACGGTTATCCTTTGGGAAATATGAAAAGCCCGTAACAAGGCAATGTTTGAAGGCTGTCGGCTGAATATGATTTGAAGATTAGATGTGAGAAAGAAAGGGATGTTTTTGGAAGAATCTTTGGTATTAAGCTAAATAGAATTATTCGGCCAAGATATTTGAAAGTTGAATGGTCTCCACCAAATGCTAATTCCCTTATTTTAAATATTGATGGTTCGTCAAGCTTGAATGAGGTGGGTTATGGTTTTTAAATCCGAGGGGAAGGTGGATGTTTTGTGTACGAAGAAAGTGGCTATTTAGGAGGAGGAGATAGTTTCAAGGCAGAAATCTTTGGTGATCTTTTTGGCTTACGTAAGTGCGAATTATTGCAACTCTCAAATGTAGTGATACAAACGGACAATAAAGCCCTCGCTGATGCCTTAGAAAGACATTCTGGATTTCCATGGAAATATTTTTTACATTTGCAGGAAATGTCTTCTTTTAAAAAGAAATGGATTCCAGATTTCTCATATATTTCAAGAGGCAAATGCGGTTGCTGATAGGCTAGCCAAGAATGCAACTTTAGGAGATTCAGAAACTTATTTTAGTTTAGCTACTCTCCCAAGAGTTGTAAAAGTATTGTTGATTTTAGATCAATACTACTTCCCATATGTTCGAAGTAGGTATGTACGATGTAAAAAGTGACAAGTTTTATGCACTGCCTATTCTTCCTTGATTAAAAAATAAAATAAAATCAGGAAATCTGATGACTAGGAGTAGATAGATTACAATTTTCATCTTAGAGATATACCCTCTAAGTGTGTTGTGCTCTTCTATTCATAGTTCAAAGGATTCTCTTTCTTTCCACCAAAAAAAAAAGATATACTCAAAAAATAAAAAACCCGATAAAGCAAAGTTTTAAAAAAAAGGGATAACACAATTTAAACTAGTAATATATTCCTAAAACTATCAAAACATAGATCTCTATCGACATTGTAAAAAAGATAACTGCACACAAAAGTGAATTATTGGTTTGTTAACTAAATGGAAAAAAAAAACTTTACGATGATTATTATTGTATCAACTTATAAAAAAAACTTATTTAGCTCAGATTGGTAGTTATTTTTGTTGTAAAGTTCGACGAAAAAAATGTAAACGTTAATTTTGGAGTGAAATGTCAATAAAATTACACTTAATTTATAATATATAACTCAGTTAGTGTGATAGAAAAAACATAGTTAAAACTTGCTTGCCAATAAGCCACCATTATCGTTTTTTTAAAAAAAAAACATAAAGTTTTACATTAGCGCCAAGTTAAGCTAGCACAAAGGAACTTAACATCCAAAAACTGGGAAGAACTTGCTACACTAATACAAAAGGCCTCAAAAGAACAGGCTCACATTTAGGAACTTAATAATGTTCAACACTAGAGCGAATTCATACATTAGTACCTAACAGCAGTTCCCAGATTAATCCAATCACCCAGTAGCAACTTGTTCCCAGATTGATCCAAAAGTCTAAGCATGGAATCTTCAATCAAGTGCTATCAAAAGTGCTTTCAAAGTAGTATTGAAAGCCTTCTTCATAGCATCCTTAACTGTCCTAGGTTACAACTCCAGTACCATCGCTATCATCATCATCACTTCCACTTGCATTGTTCTCACTGTCACTTCATCCATTCTACTCATTGTTGGTCCTACTCTTCTCAATCTTGCTTTCTCGGCAAGAATTTTCTTCTTCTTCTCTAATAGCGACTTCAAAGTCATCAATTCATTGATCATGTCATTGATATCATGTGCCAAAGCTTTCTTCTCTTCCTCGTCCCTCTTATCCTCAAAGCTAGTTGCAAGATCCTTAAGCTCCTCATGCGCATCAAAGTTCTGTCCATGATGCTTCATGGCATTAGGGGCTGTTGCGAACTTCGACAGCGCCTCAACAACAGAGACCGTAAAACCAGCTCTCCCCAACCAAACCTTAGCAGTTTCCACAGGGTTATCACATGTTTTATCAGAGCCATCGTTATTGTTTTTCAAGCAAAGCCAATAACAAAAAACATAAATAAATTTCATAACTACTTATCTAAAAAATAGTATCATAAACGTTAACAAACCAGGAAAGGAAGAATCCTGCTAATAATTCGAAAATTTTTAAACCACTTGAAGGCTTTTTCAACACTTTGCCTTCATTGTCTTCTAGATCATAAACAACGATCTAGAAAAACTTCATTTGAGAATTTGAGATTTGTTTAAATACTTTTATCGGATGTCTAATCAAGTTTATCATTTAGAGAAATGATATTTGAAATTGCAACTTAGGAAAAGAGTGGGAAAGAAAAACTTCCGTAATAAGTTTAATGAAAGAATTTAAAAAAATAAAAGACGAAGAAACACCATACTTTTCTCATACAATTTGGATATTTTAAAAAATTAGTGATATCTGACTTTAAGTGATGTGGTTCTTTTCTATAGATGAATATGTGTACCTTTGCGCCTCCCCCCAAATGTTCAATTTTTCAGGTGGGGCAAACTCCATAGTATTGGTAAAATTCTTAGATGGCAAGGGTATTTTTCAAAAAATGAGATAGGGCAATTGCCCCCACCTCAACACTATGTTGCTCCGCCCTTACTTGGGGTGCAACAATCATGCCATCCCGTAATTCCGTTGAGTGTTTGAAGACTATATTCCACTCCCAAATTTAGTTATCATGCAATCAAGAGGCAATATATCACAAGACCACAATTCGAATTTCCGATTGAACAGTATTGAAGTTAGATTCATGATACATTCTCCCACATTGTATCCATAAGCACAAGCTTCCTATTTTTACCAATTCGGCATTTAGTCCAATCAGGATCAACACTACTTCCCATATGTTCGAAGTAGGTATGTACGATGTAAAAAGTGACAAGTTTTATGCACTGCCTATTCTTCCTTGATTAAAAAATGAAATAAAATAAGGAAATCTGATGACTAGGAGTAGATAGATTACAATTTTCATCTTAGAGGTATACCCTCTAAGTGTGTTGTGCTCTTCTATTAATAGTTCAAAGGATTCTCTTTCTTTCCACCAAAAAAAAAAAAGATATACTCAAAAAATATAAAACCCGATAAAGCAAAGTTTAAAAAAAAGGGATAACACAATTTAAATTAGATATATATTCCTAAAACTATCAAAACATAGATCTCTATCGACATTGTAAAAAAGATAACTACACACAAAAGTGAATTATTGGTTTGTTAACTAAATGGAAAAAAAAACTTTACAATGATTATTATTGTATCAACTTTTAAAAAAAACTTATTTAGCTCAGATTGGTAGTTATTTTTGTTGTAAAGTTCGACGAAAAAAATGTAAACATTAATTTTGGAGTGAAATGTCACTATAATTACACTTAATTTATAATATATAACTCAGTTTGTGTGATAGAAAAAACATAGTTAAAACATGCTTGCCAATAAGCCACCATTATCGTTTTTTTTTTAAAAAAAATATGAAGTTTTACATTAGCGCCAAGTTAAGCTAACACAAAGGAACTTAACATCCAAAAACTGGGAAGAACTTGCGACAATAATACAAAAGGTCTCAAAAGAGCAGGCTCACATTTAGGAACTTAATAATGTTCAACACTAGAGCGAATTCATACATTAGTACCTAACAGCAGTTCCCAGATTAATCCAATCACCCAGTAGCAACTTGTTCCCAGATTGATCCAAAAGTCTAAGCATGGAATCTTCAATCAAGTGCTATCAAAAAGTGCTTTCAAAGCAGTATTGAAAGCCTTCTTCATAGCATCCTTAACTGTCCTAGGTTACAACTCCAGTACCATCGCTATCATCATCATCACTTCCACTTGCATTGTTCTCACTGTCACTTCATCCATTCTACTCATTGTTGGTCCTACTCTTCTCAATCTTGCTTTCTCGGCAAGCATTTTCTTCTTCTTCTCTAATAGCGACTTCAAAGTCATCAATTCATTGATCATGTCATTGATATCATGCACCAAAGTTTTCTTCTCTTCCTCGTCCCTCTTATCCTCAAAGCTAGTTGCAAGATCCTTAAGCTCCTCATGCGCATCAAAGTTCTGTCCATGATGCTTCATGGCATTGGGGGCTGTTGCGAACTTCGACAGCGCCTCAACAACAGAGACCGTAAAACCAGCTCTCCCCAACCAAACCTTAGCAGTTTCCACAGGGTTATCACATGTTTTATCAGAGCCATCGTTATTGTTTTTCAAGCAAAGACAATAACAAAAAACATAAATAAATTTCATAACTACTTATCTAAAAAATAGTATCATAAACGTTAACAAACCAGGAAAGGAAGAATCCTGCTAATAATTTGAAAATTTTTAAACCACTTGAAGGCTTCTTCAACACTTTGCCTTCATTGTCTTCTAGATCATAAACAACGATCTAGAAAAACTTCATTTGAGAATTTGAGATTTGTTTAAATACTTTTATCGGATGTCTAATCAAGTTTATCATTCAGAGAAATGATATTTGAAATTGCAACTTAGGAAAAGAGTGGGAAAGAAAAACTTCCGTAATAAGTTTAATGAAAGAATTTAAAAAAATAAAAGACGAAGAAACACCATACTTTTCTCATACAATTTGGATATTTTAAAAAATTAGTGATATCTGACTTTAAGTGATGTGGTTCTTTTCTATAGATGAATATGTGTACCTTTGCCCCGCAAATGTTCAATTTTTCAGGTGGGGCAAACTCTATAGTATTGGTAAAATTCTTAGATGGCAGGGATATTTTTCAAAAAATGAGATAGGGCAATTGCCCCCACCTCAACACTATGTTGCTCCGCACTTTCTTGGGGTGCAACAATCATGCCATTCCGGAATTCCATTGAGTGTTTGAAGACTATATTCCACTACCAAATTTAGTTATCATGCAATCAAGAGGCAATATATCACAAGACCACAATTCGAATTTCCGATTGAACAGTATTGAAGTTAGATTCATGATACATTCTCCCACATTGTATCCATAAGCACAAGCTTCCTATTTTTACCAATTCGGTATTTAGTCCAATCAGGATCATCAAGGGCTTGCACTACAAAATAACTTTGCAATGTAATGTCAAAACAAACTAAGAGGTCATTCCCGTGCTCATAATAACCATTATTATCATCTACAACATCTAAAGTCCAAACAACAAATATCGAAAACAATACTGACATTGATAATGGGCAATCGGAAGTAATCTTTAACCAAGGTCGTGTAAATAGGCCTTCAGATCTCATTTACACAACATGCAAGGAACCTTTCAACCATTTTATAGGGGCCATCAGATTTAAAAAACATGGTGGTGTACTGTCTCGATTCATTCTATAAGTCAAAGCAGCAACCCATTTTTTTGGAATAATTGGTGCTCCGCTTGACCAAGGTACATACCAAATCACAAGTCATGGACAACAAATTTCAGAGACAACCATTTGCAAACATTACTTGCAAAGTTGAGTCGAAGTTGTATACCTTGTCGTTGATGAGGTTAAATCCAACCAACTTTATTGGAACGTGGGCATCCTCATTCAGGTCCATCTCAAAAGCGAGTATCAAACCATTTTTCTGTTCAGCATGGAGTTGATAAATACCAAGCCAAACAAAATGATCTTGTAGAACATTCCTCCATGAGTGTTGAACGGGCTTGCAATTTCCAACACTTAGATGGGTTTTGATGAATATCTCCTCAAGAAGACTTTGATCATAATGTCTAAACAAATCTGGATTGTTCAGAGCGACAATACTAGTAGACCACCAGAGAAATGTCTTCATGTTCTTTGGTGATTAGTTTAGCCGGATTAATGGAATTTGTTTTCGACAATAAGAGAAAATACGTGACATGTTTCCAAATTGCAAGTACTAAATGTCAATTAATTATAGCAAAAGTACCAAAAAGTTGCTCTTCGTCTTTGTTTGATACCAAATGATTAAAAATACATTGCACGTCTAAAAGAGTGTCACCAATCAATTTTTTGTTAGGGATCCGTTCAAAAATTAACGGTCAACTCACTTTTCACGTGAAGGGCACGTGTATTGACCAAATGGTAATTTTGACTTTTCAAAAATAAAATAAAAAATATAAAAAAATTATTATTATCAGAAAAAGAAATCCCTTATTCCTCTCAATGCCGCCCCACGATCACCCACACAACACCACCAGTTTTCATCTTCAGAATAAATTTACCCAGAAACTAGTTCTACTCACCATCGTCTTCTTCTTCAAAAAAAAAAGAACACTTTAAATCAAGATATATCAATTTTTACATGAAGTTCCATGGATCAAAATCAAAGGAAGGAGTGAGGCACTGGTATGAGTTTGAGAGTCGGTGGCCGGGTGGGATTCAATTTTTTAATCTAAATCTAATTCTTTTTTTTCGATTTCCAATAACCAAAGTGACGCCAGCGGCCGCAACAAGGGATGTGGAATTTATTTTGGAATCGGCGGAGGTTGAATCAAATGGGTCATTGAACCACCAGGCCTTGCACTTTCAGAACGACTAGGAGTCTGATTTATTTATTTATTTATTTATTTGTAGCTTTTTGAGGAGAGCATGTCAGATTTCAATCAATAAGCGGAGGAAAAGCTTCCGCTGGAAAGATCTGAAGGTTTTGGTCTTTTTGGTGGTTGGCGGTGAACGGCTTGGAATGCTGTGATGAGATCGCTACAATCACCACGCATTGGCGCCCTCAGCCGCCGGCAGCCCCTGTACCATTATTGGGCTAGAACCCATCTTCCCAAAAACCCAAAAGTGGAAGAAATATGATAAACAAAGTATTCCTCAAAAGATTTGAAGGTTTTTGTCTTTTTGGTCGTTGGTGGTGAACGGCGGAGAAAGGAAGCTGAAGGGGTGACTTGGAATGTTGTGAGGACAAAACGTTTGATATGTATTTTATTAATTTTTATACACTTCATATATATGGACTATGGAGGATTTATTCCATTTGGATTTAATAATCTAATAAAAAATCAAGCCCATTCCTTATATTTTATAAAAGGCTCGTCCAGTACTTTAATTAAAAACATAAAAAGGATAACATGCATCCTCTTCCCGTTTTCTTCTCCAACCATGGTAGCCGTTGCCGCTGCAACTGTTGGGAATGGAAAAGAAGCAGTTCTTCTTCTTCATCATCTTCATTTTTCTCATGTTCACCCTCGATCTCTCTTTTTTTTTTTTTCCTTTTTCCAATCCGTCTAGTAAACTAATATAGGATTTGTTCAAGAGATCTGGTACATATTTCGTACCGGCATCCATATCGGACAGTGTCATGTCCGACCAAAATTGAAGAATCCCAGTAGCTTGGTCGGCGGCCCCAGGTCTTGATGTGCTCTCGTTGCTGAAAATAGGAAGAGAAAGAGTGGGATTGGGTTCAGAGTAGGAACGCGAAGGAGCAATGTTAAATTGATTGTAATTAATTGTCAAAGACGGTTCTTCAAGTTTTGACAGCAGCAGTGAAAGCTGAATACAGACCACACCATCTCTTCTATCTTCCTCAGAGGGTGGCTCTGGATTTCCTCGATGTCGCCTGCGATTACCGAATATTGGCTTTTCGATTTGTTCAATTCAATTTTAGTTTACTGGGAATTGTCTTAAAATTAGAATTGGCTCTATTAAATTTAATGTTTTAACAATAATAGAGTTTTGATACTGATTTATTTTATTTTTTTAATATTTTTTACTGGGAATTGACGCAGACCCTCAATATAGTAAAAAGATGAAAATACCCTTCATCAAATGCACGAGTGCTTCACGTGCATTAGTCATTGACCGTTACTTTTTGCGTTAAAATCTAACAAAATAGCAAAAGGCGACACTATTTGACTTTCTGCTGGCTCACGGTCCGTTTTTAAACAATTGCAAATGATGACAAAGAGTAACTTTTTGGTACTTTTTTTTTTTAAGCAAAAGGGGAAGATCAGAAGGAGATTCAGGTTCTAGCTAACTCAAAAACATTCAAGGGATCTACCCAGGAGATGGATTTTTAAGTCAATTAATTGATACTTTTGTTGTAATTAATTGATTAAATGTTCTCGTGATTTTTGAACTATTCACAAAAAAAACCAAATAGATTATAAAAAAAAAAAGAAAAAAAAACACAGTAATCAGAAGCCTTCTTAATCCACACAATGACATACCTAATCCATGAAACCAAAATAAGAACACAACCATCATACTCATGAATTAACGCAACATCACCAATAAAAAAAAAAGACAAACAAACATGGCACTGAATATAGAACCAAAAAAAAATGAAATTTTGATATGGAAGATAATGGAACTTCGTACCTTTTTGCGATACTATGTTGAGGATAATCAAAGATGGATTTAGCGTTGAGTATCCAAACACTTGTGAATGATTTTACATGATATTCTGCGAGATTGGGAAATGGAGAAGATGAGGAAGAAGAAGAGTTTGGTTTGGAAATTAGAAATTGGTTTTGATGCTTAATGAGTAATAATGGTGAGAAATTATCATATGGCATGTGTGATCTTTGTTGAATTGTTGACATTGCAATACTAAACTCAATAATGTGGATAAAAAAATGTTAATAGATTAAAGGAAAAAATAATAATTTTGACAAACAACATAAACTAAAATGTTATGTTCAACTAAAACCCAAAAATAGTATTCATAATAATACAACTTCTCATATAACATTTGCCAACAGAGCTAGACTTTAGAAAGCTGATTTTGAAGATGGGCAGTGTCGAATTCACCATACTTCTTAAAAAGCAACAACCACCACAAGGTAGTTCTATAAGTTCCCTTTTTAAAAGAACATTCATCTTTATAAAAACCAATGGTCCGTGGACTTTTTGCACACCCACAGGAATGGAAATGAACTAATGGATTCGTTAGCCAAACTTGGTTTTTCTATTCTTTTGTGCACCACCATCTTTGTAACTTAAGCCACTGGCTTCTTTCCTTCATTAAAAAAAACATTTGCCCAATATATGTTATGTATTGGATGCAACAATATATAGTTACCTCATAGATGTGCCTAACTAAACACAAACTTAATCCAAACCAATAAAATTACTCATACTTAATTCGTCACTAAGAATTCAATCGCTATAAAGGAATCACAATTAAACATGTATGCTATGTAAATTACTGTTCAAACTATGAAAAATAGGGCAACATTATTTTGAGAGCAAAAGTTACATCGCGGCTTAATTTATAATTAGTAACATCCTCTTTTAGGTCGACAAAAAAATCATAAAATAATTAGTCATTAACATACAGAATAAATGT